GTAGTAGTAGTAGTAGTAGTAGTAGTAGTAGTAGTAGTAGTAGTAGTAGTAGTAGTAGTGATAGTAGTAGTAGTAGTAGTAGTAGTAGTAGTAGTAGTAGTCGTAGTAGCAGCAGCAGTAGCAGTGGTAGTAGTAGTAGTAGTAGTAGTAGTAGTAGTAGTAGTAGTGGTAGTAGTAGTAGTAGTAGTAGTAGTAGTAATCGTCGTAGTCGTAGACGTGCCAGAAGAAGGAGGGAGTGAGGGAAGGAGAGAGGGAAAGTTGGAGGGGGGAGGGAAGGAGGGAGGGAGAACAGGGGGACTTGAAAAAAAACAAACATCATACTAACAATACTAATGATAAGCATCATAAAAATAATACCAATAGTACTAAACATAAAAACATTAATCATACACATAAGAAACATAAGAACAATCTTGAATATCAGAAGCAGCATCTGCTCACGCGTAGACTTTCGGAGGGCTGAGCAGGTTCCTTGTGTCGGCGCGTTTCGGCGCCGGCGGCGCCGCCAAAGGCCAACGGGTCCAGCGCCAAGAAGTGTATGGATATGCTAATTCGCTTCTCCGAACGATGGGGAGGGGAGGGAGGGGAGCCTTGCTAGCCCTACGCGCCGCCAGCGTGGGCTACCCTCAATACCTCCAACTCGCCCTCTGTATAGCCAATGTTGTTTACCGTGTGGACAACGTCGGCTCTCCACGCTACCATTCGGGGTCCACAAACGGCTCGGTGACTGACCTTGCGGTAACCTCGGAACCCCCGACGACCGCACCTGACCGCACGGTGCGGTGGCCTCGGAAGCACCAGCCGCCCGATACGTCCTCGGATCTCCTCGAATCCCAAAGCAGGGTGGGCACTCCGAATCCTCAATGACTCGCCGCACCGTTTGGGCGCCCCCGATGCAACCCAAAACCATATTCAACCTCTTGGGCCGGTCCGGGAAACACTTCGGCAACATCTGCCGGATCACGAACGCCTGCCGCGTGGGGTCGTTGAAGAAGCTGAGCCAGGTGATCCTGGCAAGCCAAGGCGAGCGGAGGCACTCATTATCCCGATCTTCCTCATCCTTCTGCTACTTCCTCCCCCCATTTGCCCAATTCTCCCATACCCTCTTTCAGCCCACCCCCCACAGCGTCATCGCCAACACGTGTGCGGCGCGAATCGAGGTTTGCCAAGGCAAGAACCCTCTCAGCCCGTGGTGGAGCAAAAACAATGGAAAGGGCCCCGGCTGCAGCGAGAATCTGCACCGACAGTTTGCTCATGCCTTGCGAGCTTTTTAGTGTTCGAGGTCGTGGCGCACAGTTCGAAAACCCAAAGGCGGCCCAAGAGAGGCACCGGCGCGCTCAAGAAGCCCAAAGAGGCCCAACGAGGCCCAGAAGAGGCCCCACGAGGCCCAAAACGGCCCCCAAGAGACCTCCAAATTGCCTCGAAGAGGCCCCCGAGAAGTCCCCCACGAGATCCCAACGAACATCCACTAGGCTTCATACCAACAACCCAAGCACGGTGGCGGAGTGGGCCGAAGACCGTTCGACCTGGGCCGGCACGGGAACGGAAAGAGCGCAGCAGGAATTGGCCCGAGAGGGCTCATGGCACCCTTCACTCAGGGGAGCCTTGGCGTGAAGAGCTTGTTGCGTCAACGCTCTCTGCTGGGAGCCCTGGTGTTCAAAGACTTTTGCGTTGCCGCTCGCTCTTGGGAGCCTTGCTCTTCAGAGCTCTTTGCATCACCGCGCTCTGGGGAGCCTTGGTGGTCAGAGCTTCTTACGACACCGCTCGCTGTGGGGAGCCACAATGTTACTTGGCGTCTCTGGGGTTTCTTGGGAAACTTTCGTGGCCGTTTGGGACAATTTTGGAATTCTTGGGCCGGCTTAGGGCCAGCCCAGCTTCCACACCCAAGCACCCCAGTCCCCACACCGCCTCTTCGGGCCCTCTTTGGAGCCTCTTGGGGCCATCATCCTGGCCAAGCGGGTGGCTGACGCCACGGGGGAAATCGCCGCACTTGTAGCAAACCGACACGCCCAGCGACTCTCCATCTCCCTGCACATTGCGGCGCCTCCAAATCCAGTCTGGGGGGGCGGGGGTGGCTGCGGCCCGCTTGGCCGCTGCCACAAATGCTTCCCCAGCTGACGCTGTGTGAGCCGCGACGCTGGCGCAGCCCAGCGCCCCCCGCCCTCCCCCCCCACCCTGGCTGGGCAGCGCGGGCGCCCCCCCCCGCGCCCCTCCGTGGGTGGTGTGCTGGCGCCCCCCCGCATTGCCGGCCGCCCCTTCCTCGGCGGGGCGGTGGGTGATACCGCAAACGTTCCCTCCCCACCCAGCTGCAGCGTGCTGGGTTCGGCCGGCACCCCACGCCCTTCTTGACGCGCTTCCCGACGCCCACAACGATCCCGACGACGACCACGACGTCCTTCCCGACGCCCACAACGACCCCGACGCCCTTCCCGATGCCCACAACGATCCCGACGCTTTCCCCGACGCCCACAACGGTTCCCGACGCCCATCCCGACCGCTTCCTGTCGCCCCCGTAAGGTCCGTAGTTTCGTCGCGGATGGCCCTTCCCTCCTGGCCCCTGGCCCGGCCCTTTTGCTGCCCCTCCTCCTCCTCCTCCTCCTCCTCCTCCTCGTCCTCTTCCTCCCCCCCTCCCTGCTTGCTGTCCCGTCTCCGCCCCTGCCCGCCTGCCTGCCTGCCTCATCCCGCAGGCCCTGGCCTCCCGCCTGCGCGTTCGTTCGTCTTCGTTTGCTCATCCCTCCTTTCCTCCCCCTCTCTGTGTTCCGGGTCTCAAAGTTTTCGCATGCTTCGACTGTTCTGCCTCTGGTAGAGGTTGTGGAACATCTGCCCGTCAAGGCCGACTTCTTCCGTGACCAAAGGAAGAAATTCTGGATAAACACAGACTTTCGACGGTTCGCTCGGATTTGTCGGGCCCTGGAGCGCAAAGCGCGGAGGCTCCGCCAGGGGGGCCCAACAGAAATCTGAGAAATCCGCGCGGACCGTCGACAGTGTGCCGCTTCCTGATCCTCGGGCAGGGGAAGGATCACCGCGCCTCCGGCCCCCCAGTCCGATCCTGCGCGACCCCCCATAGAGGCCTCCTAATGGGGTCCGAGTAGATGGGGTTGGAAGATCGCACCGTATCGCTGACACATTGCCGATGCATCGGCGATCTTCAAGACATCCGCGCGGACCGTCGAAAAAACGGCGATGGTTTTGCAGGCTATGTATTAACGATCCGATTATGCCCCCCTCGGTTTCAAGCGGCATGCTGCTTCTCTCGATTATTTTCCTGACAATTCTCTCCCCTTCGATTCACTCTCTATCCGCCGTTGTGTGTGTGTGTGTGTTGTGCAATTGTTCCCCCCCTTCGATCCCGCGATGACCCCGCCGCCTCGCTCCGAGACGAAAGCAGGCGGCCCCAGCGGAGTAAGACGCGGCCAGGATGAGGATAACATCGGGGGGTGATAGATCGAGAGTGGATGTCTGTGGCGCCGCGGCCCTCTCAGAGCGTCCCCAGAGCGTCCCCAGAACGCTCTGAGCGCGTTCTGGAACGCTCTGGAACGACTGTGTGCTCGTCCTAGCCCCGTCCAAAGGCTCCCGATCCATCCTCCTCCTCCTTCTCCTCCTCCTCCTCCTCCTCCTCCTCATCCCCGCCCCTCCCCCTCCTCCCTCCCCCCCTCCTCCCCCCTCTCCTCCCTCCTTCCTCCTGCCTGCTCCTCCTGCTCCTCCTCCTCCTCCTCCTCCTCCTCCTGTTCCTCCTCCTCCTCCCCCTCCCCCCCCTCCTCCCCTCCTCCTCCTTGCTCCTCCCGTCTTCCTCCTCCACCTCCTCCTCCTCCTCCTCCTCCCCCTCCTCCTCCCCCACCTCCTCTCTCCCCGCTCCTCCTCCTCCTCCTCATCCTCCCCCCCCCCATCCTCCTTCCCCTCCCCCTCCCGCCCCTCCTCCCTCCACCGCCACCTCCTCCTCCTCCTCCCTCCCTCCATCCCTCACTTTCTCCTTCCTCCCCTCCCCCTCCCCTCCCTCCCCCCCTCCCTCTCTCTCTCGTGTTTCCCAACCATCCTGTGGTGTTGGGTCCTCGTTTTGAAGAGACGGTGCCCCGCGTCTCCTCTCCTCTCCTCTCCTCTCCTTCCTTCCTTCCTCCTCCTCCTCCGCCTCTTCCCCCCTCCCTCCTCCATCCTCCCACTATCACGGCACACCCCTCACGCGTTTCGTGGCTCCATAGGGAGCTCCACCGAAGGCCCCAGTGCCCGCGCCCGCATGCGTCACCCACACCCATTTCGGCACACCCCTCACACGTTTCGTGGCTCCATAGGGAGCTCCACCGAAGGCCCCAGTGGCTGCGTTCGCATGGCGGCGCCGCACCCAATTTGGCACACCCCTCACACGTTTCGTGGCCCCATAGGGAGCTCCACCGAAGGCCCCAGCGGCTGCGTTCGCATGGCGGCGCCGCACCCAATTTGGCACACCCCTCACACGTTTCGTGGCCCCATAGGGAGCTCCACCGAAGGCCCCAGCGGCTGCTTTTGCATGGCGGCGCCGCACCCAATTTGGCACACCCCTCACACGTTTCGTGGCCCCATCAGGAGCTCCACCGAAGACCCCAGTGGCTGCGTTCGCATGGCGGCGCCGCGCCCAATTTGGCACACCCCTCACACGTTTCGTGGCCCCATAGGGAGCTCCACCGAAGGCCCCAGTGGTTGCGTTCGCAGGCCTCCCCACCACCCATTTCGGCACACCCCTCACACGTTTCGTGGCCCCATAGGGAGCTCCACCGAAGGCCCCAGTTGCTGCGTTCGCATGCCTCTCCACCACCCATTTCGGCACACCCCTCACACGTTTCGTGGCCCCATAGGGAGCTCCACCGAAGGCCCCAGTGGCTGC